AGTGGTGTGGCGGGTGAGAGAGGCTAAAGGTAGACGGGGGAGTGTGTGCCTGTGCGCGAACGTGTGCACGCTTGCACCATCGTGTGTGTGGGTGTGTGTTTTCAGAATAAAAACAACTAATGACTTCAAACATAAATATTACAGTAGGTTAAGGCCATGAGGGTCAATGTAAATAAATTAAAATAAATTCTCTAAAACAATATATTTAATCGCATCGCATGAAGAATAAAAACGGCGATATCTTTAATAACATGTTTATAACCAGTGTTACAGACGTATAATTTTAACTAAATTATTCAAATTAAATTTTTAAAAAGAAACTCCTGAGAAATCACTCGGAACATTCCTTATCGATCGTTTATCAGATTACAACTCGCGACGAAGCGGTACCACGGTGGCATTGACAACTGTTACCAGGGTAGAGTTGCGGTGAAGGAACGGAGAACAATACCTTCCTCCTCCACTTAAAATATCATGGGGGGATTCAACTATAAATATAAGAAGAATCTTCGGGACAGAGCTTCAGTCCTAGAGAGTTACACAGAGCTTTAGAGCTTCAGTCCTAGAGAGCTTCAGAGCTTCAGTTGCCTTTGATCCATAAACTCACGACTCATTAACTTGACAAATAGAGTTAAAAACTAAACCCGAGAAACGTCTTGACTCGGACCTAAATCTTGTATTGTTGATTCGAATTTCAAGAAGTTTTGGACATTTGAGAATAAAGTAAGAGTTGTTTTAAGAAAGATAATAATTAATTCAATCTAAGATCTACCCTCTCACTTTCTCTGATCGCTGACAAAATAGTGTGGCGGACAGAATCCTCTATTCCTCTCTGATCGCTGACAGAAAGTGTGGCGGACAGAATTCTCTATTCCTCTCTGATCGCTGACGTAGAGTGTGGCGGACAGAAACCAACATCCTTACTCCATGACCAAAAGGAAAGGAGGAAAACGAGTTCAAATCAAACGCATTAAATACCAAATCAAGCAGGCGCTAAACTCTAACAAAGATCCTATACCTTTACTGCTTAAATTAAGAGAACTTGAATCTAAAGACTACGCCTCAATCGCGAAATCACAGAATTACAAACTAATTCCAATAGATTTCAAGGTCAATTACTTAAATTATAAGTTTATAAATAAAGACGATCCTCGTTACAAAGTTTATCGAAATCGCTATCTCTTTGGTCCAGAAGACTGATTAGAAGTCATTAGATTCACACAATCGAGTCCAAATCCCCGGTAAAGCACTTAAATGTGTTGACCGAAAAACGGACGAAATTCATACTTGACGGAACGTGACACCAGAATAAATCAGACCATTATTTCCTCTCATTCTCACATTTATACCTAATTTTTTTTAGTTAACATATCGCAACGTTTTTTCTTACCGTTTTATTCGGCCGTTTTACGATTCTAAGATGTCTAAACATCAGCGTTCATCTCTGCTGCCACTTTATATTTTTAATTTTAATTGTATAGCTTACCTTATTGTAATTTTGTTAATTGGACTGATTAACATGTATTAAAATGTATAACTATAATACGTTTTATATGTTTTTCTTTCTTTAATTATTTTAACTCATTATAACATATATTACTTCATACTAGATATACTAGATCTTTTTTATCTTTTACGCCGAAGATGTTCAAAGAAACTGTTCTAAACGTTTGTCTATTGTCTATTCCTATTTTAAGTATCTTATTTTAAAGATTTCTATTGTTTTATGCGATGTCAAATATATTGTTTATAGCAAACACATTTTAATGTTTTTACTTTGACTCTCTTGGCCTTGACTTCCTGTAATTTTTCGAGATATTTAAGATTCTTATTTTACCTGGCGATTTTAAACAAAGCGCAAATGTGCGAAATGTATATTAGGAGCACTGTTACAATAGTTATTATTGTATTGCTTCCAACATAAAAAGTTAAGAACATATGCGTCAAAATAGCGAAAAAGTATGTTTCTTCGTCGACAAAGTATTCCAGAGTAATTATCATTTGTAGCGAACGTGATTCATTCATTGGTATAAACACATCAAGTATACGGGGAAAACAACTTATTGTAACTAATACCAACGAAGCGCTCGTACTCAGAACTGAAGCAAATAAATCATGATATAGTCAACATGTAGTGGACGTAGTATGAAAAGTAATATATTTTATATTTTACTAAAAAAGTATAAGAAATACAGACAAAAAAAATACAACAGATATTAGATTAATACTATTGACATCAATCTAAAGATGTTATTATTGTAAAAAATTTTACATAACTTTTTAAAACATTCGAATATAAATGATATGAATATAATGTGTAATGCTGATAAACTAAATTAACATTCACATAAAAATAATATACTAGGAAAAGGACTTGATTGATACGATTGACATTTGATTTTGTTTCTTACGAAAAACACAGATTATATGGAAGTTTGTTCCGTTTGCATATTTTCGTAAAACTTCCAATTCTGCCTGAGCTTTTAACATATTCCAATCGTATTGAATTCTATCGAAGATATATTTGATCTATAATCACAAATAAATTATCTTATTCTGTAAGTTTTTGGGGAAATTATGTGTCCTATGGGATACTTTTTTATATTTTCACGTAATTGTAATATTTTTTTTATAATATTTAATTCAATATTTTTTAATATATTAAATAATTATTGTATGTCATACGATGTTAAGTAAAATTGGAAATAGAAAAACTAAAATCGATAAAAAATATTATTTTAACAAAAAATCTTATATGAACAGAATTTCAAATACTATAAAACCAAGTGAACACTTACGTTATCGTTGAGTAGCAGACATGTGTTATACGTCAGAATAGATACACAAGTCATAACAATGTATGACAACATTTTAATAATACACACGATGCTGTACTGTTTTATAAACAATGGAATGCACTGAAAGCAGTAACCTTATTGAAAGATTATAGCAAAAATGTAAACAAACATTAATTTAAATAAAACTGTATTTATTTAATATTATAGAGACTTGTCAATTGTTGTATCACAACGACTTGGCATAAACAGTTATTTAAATAAGTAAAATACATATGGAATAAGAAATTGAATACCTGACATATTAGGAAGGATATGAATAACGTTTGATAAAACATTATTTGTACTTTCTTGAAAGTTGAAATGTCATCAGGCCACAGACCGAGAGACAACAGAAAAATCCTATTCAGCTTATAATACCGTTCTCCACCCAAGTCCATCTTCCACGAAAGCTGAAATGCGTATGTCAGGCCTAACGCTGCAAACCTGTGTTTCCCCCTCCATGTATCGAATTTAGGTAGACGATAAATTTTTCTTTCTTAGACTCATAAGATAATTGTAAAGGTGACGTTCAGTTTGCCGTGGGATTAATAGCAAATGTAAAAAATTCATAAAGCACCGGCAAGGGGGAAATAGGTGTGTATAGTAAATAAAGAGAATAAATTTCCTCGATTTTCTCCCGCCTCGACTATAAAACGAATAAGTCAATAGAAATGGTATTACCAAAATTAGCAAAATACATCGTATACTTTTTCTTTAAAAATAGATGTCTTTTTATGTCAAACACTATAAGTTTTACGGGTAACTATCACCATTTTATATTATTATACCTAACCATCACTTTATTATGATACACGCATCGACTTTCTTCTACGTACAATAGTAACACTTTTCATATTTCGTGTCTATTAATGAATTTAAAATTTGAATTAAAAAATTTGGATATAACAGTGCAGTAATACAACCAATGTTTTGCAGAAGTGTGGAAAATTCAGATTATAACATGTGTCATTGTTCATGTATAAGGAGAAGGTACGTATTGATTACCTCTCCATTTCTTATTACCCTTTCAATGTGTGTTCAACAATGCCGTTCCATTACTTCTACAATCGGTAGACGTTGCTCTTTATTATTCCTGTTAACGCGATGATTGTTGTGTAACGATTCGTCTAATTAAAAGAACTTCATCCCTTAGCCGAAAGAAATATCGATGCACGTTGGGAATATTGTCAAGGGCGTTTATAGAGTACGGCGAAAGTGTGGGAAACTGTGCGTGACGCACCTAGGTGTGTAGTGTACTCATGTGTGTACGTATATCTCTGCTTATGGCTGCGTAATTCATACGTAAATTCGCACCCGATTGCCGCGCAGTGACACAACGTGCTCTTATACTCAAAGGGGTATATGCGTGTCTCTTAAAAGGCTGTAAAAACATGGGAGGCGCGACCATTTATTCGATTCTAAGTGATGGTACACTTTAGATAAAAATAATTCAACGGTAGAAATAAACATGTAGTAGTAATAAAACGAGCAGAGTTTTCGACTTTTATTATCCTGGTGAGAAACGAAACGATTCGAAATTTAACTATTCTAAATTGATCCTAAATTTCCGATATCGTTTATTACAGATAATAAAATTGACTTAACGAATCGTTAAACAAAAAATAAATCTCATAGCTATCGTCGCTGAGATTATTTAATTACGCATATAAAAGTACCGTTAGATGCTTAATTATTCATATTTAATTTGACCATCATGGTTACGTGACGTTAGGTGATTTTTGCGTTTTAATTAAATACAGCTACGTTTTACGTCGCGAGGATCCCAACGTCGTTAGTCGGTCGACCTCCTGTAATGTATCGTGGAGCGCGAAATTTTTGCAAACGGCTACGGGGCAGCGTGTAATTCGGAGTTACATCTAGAATAACGTACAAGGGACTCGAGGAATGCGTATTTTAGACGCGTTACGCGCCTGTACGTCGACCGCAGCCGACTCGTTGCGAAGTTTTAACCGGTATGAGAAACCGCAAGGGGTATATCGGAACACGACGATCTCGTGGTACGCGGAAGAGAATTCCCGAAATCCTTCTCGCAGGTTCGATTATCAGGACGTATAATGGAACGTGATTTGCGGTCGAAGGCCGAGATGGAGCGCATCATATTGGCTATCGTTGTAACAGAGCTCAGAGACGAATAAGGCTGTTCTATCGCCGGCCCTCCTTCGGAATGGCAAGCAAATTTCTACGAGCATCTCTCCGGCGACTCGAACGATCGCTCGATGAGACTCGTTATGGTAGAATATTTACAAGCGAAAATAGAGAAATCTTGCAGCGCGTTTCCTCGTAACATTATTTATAATATTATTATAAAATATCGAGAGCACATTTTACAATCCACATTCTTGCACTCTGCAGCTTCAGAAGAATATTATTTCTTATTTCTAATAAGGTCGAATGAGATATTCACTGTCGGATTCTCGTTCGACGGTGGTTTCTTTCGCGGTATCTTCGCTTCTTAGAACTTTATAGATACGTTACCAATAAAAAATTTTACTGGATCAAAAATCAGTTTCGAATCATGTACGTATCATAACGTAATCATACGTCAGCACGTGCTGCTGACGAGAAATAAAAAAAAATGAAATTATTCAGCCATGTAATTAAGCGCATTTTCCCGACCGATCTTCTTGCTGCGCCATCGCGTCAATTGCACAGCTTTTGATCGGCTGTCCATTGACTCGCGATCAACACGGTGAAGTCGTCAAGCAGCACCGGCCCGTTCATCACACAATTCGCGCGAGTCACGTTGCTCCGCTCGTTCTCGTTCTCGTTTACTCGCGCACCGCTAATCTGGATCTCCCATCTGAGGCGAGCTCCCTTAGCGGCAATCTGCGGCGTGCGGTCTGCGAGTCCCTTCGTTTTATTGAGGCATATTCCCTCGTACTCGATAAGCCGGACATTCCTTCGCGTCGTGTCGTCGAATCGAGTACGATTAACGATAATATTAAAACGCCGTGCGCTATAATGCTTCACTTCGACAACACAACGATTTGCGACAGTTAATTTATGTTACATCAATGACGCGCGAAATGTTAATGATTTTTTAATCAGCAGATCTTTATAAAGCTTATTCTATATATTAAAGCGGTACATGTGCCATCGTGATTGCTCCAAGTGGCATATATGTAAAGCGATTAAACTTTCTTCTGTGCCTCACGATACCTATCGGACACTCACTCTCTTTTGAGTTAAAGATTATACAGGGTGAGTCTTTCCATATCCGACAAAATTTTTGAGAAGGTAGAACGGATCGAGATGAATGGAAAAGTCCTGTACCATTTTGCAATTTTCGTAATAGTTAACGAGTAATTAATTATTAAAAATCGTTGTCTTAGGCCGGCCTACCGCCCAATTCGAGCGCGTGGCGAGATGTGCGCATAGCAATATCGATCGCCGGGCGGTCACATCTTGCCAC